ACCAAACCAGAAAGAAGTTTTAAAGATGATCCATCTTCAGCTTGTAAACAAGTACACAAAAACGCTTAATGGATCGAGGAAATAATTACCGGATATTTAACCACAGAATTGCTAGCTAACTCCACACGCCATCACAATCTATTAAAACCGTCTACTGCCAAGGGGTCAGTAGAAAGCCTCATAGCCTCACCATGTTTATTGTCGAGAAGTTCAAGCTTGACAAGGACGTCATTGCGTAGTTTGGCAAATCGCGATCTCGCATCCTGTCGACAGCGCAGGATTAGACGATACTCGTAGTTGCCCGTTTCCACGCGATAGAGCGGTTCCTGCAGTGCGTTGAAGGTATACTCCTCATCATCCATCTCCTTCACTTTTAGGCAGTACGACTATAGAACAGGGAAGGACAAGAGGTAGGCCTTTTTGTAGAGACAAGAGGCAAGCGCAGTTGTACAAAGAACACACCAAGTACTCGAATTTCACGTCCAGATAGCGCTTCACAGTGAGCTTGGTGTCTGGAATGGCTTTCGTAAGGAATGTGTTCAAGTCTGAGACAATCTAAAATAAGGACGAACATTTACTAACATTAAGATACACCATTACATGTAAGATTCCTACCCCTGGACAATGTCGAGAATGTTAAGAACTCACCAATATAACAGTTTCAACAAACCAAATGACGAATAGCACAACAGACATTCTGGTGACGAATATTTGAAACAAAAAGCAATAAGGCAAAATTAAGGCTTACCGTATGGAGAAAAAAGGGGACGAAAAGCATAGGATTCTCGTGTTAAAACAGAGGAATGTACCAATGGAACTAGAACATCGGAGAGACAAGTGAATTCTAAGACCATTTTAATGGGACGCAATTGGTATGAAAGCAGAATTTGTGTTTGAGGTTTACAAAAACTAGCATCCAAACATGCCAATTCCTTAAACAAAGGTTAAAGCTTCTGTGAACAAGCTAATGGAACAACGGATACTCAAAAAGGTGTAATTTTATTGCTGCCAAATGACATCTTAGTGCCTTGATAATGCTGGATGTTGAACCTAAAAATAGAAATTTTTTCAATTAATGAATTTATAAACAGGCCAATTTCACCTGACAGGTCTAGCAGCTATGTCGTACCCAATAGAGGACATAACCGGCCCTAAAATACCGTTTAAAGAAAATTATGTTGACTTGTAGCCATGGAAGTAAAATTTCTGGCATTTGGTTCCAAAAAGAAATGATGAAGTCGGATCACCTTATATCTACCAGATATCTAAAAGAAGTGAAGTACAGTGCATTTGCTATCCGGCCAAGTGACCTGCATCCCACCACTGGTGAGCCTGAAACTACCCGCCGCACCACAGCTGTAAGGCACTACGACGGCCCCTTAGAATAAAGCGAAACATTGGAAACAATCAGCACAGCAAGTGGCGAGGCAAAAAGTGTGAAGAAACCCTATTTATGCAAGGAAACTCAAAATTTCGTAATTTATACCGCATTTTAAGATGTATTTTTTCTATAAGCAATTGCCACCATTTCTCAGCACCAATCCGCTGAAAAGCAAAAAGCAAATGAGAAATGGTAGGAAGTTAGGAAAGACACTTGGGCCTGGACCTCTTGCTTCTAGAGCCGAATTAAGTCCGTTTTTTTTATTCAGTCCAATGAACAAAAAATTAGAAAAGAAACGTATCATTTTACCACAGAGCTTTACGCTATGTTATGGTAAAGCTATCAAGACTTCTTAAAGATAAACAAAGCATGCAACATGGAACCAAACAGATGTCGTAATTATGATGGAAAGTCCTTCCTTGAAAAGAAAACATAAACGTGGATGCCCTTGGCTACATTTAGAGTCAATGAAGACGATAAACAAGAAATTGTTGAAATTCGCTTCATATACAGAAATAACAATTTTTTTCTGCATGGATCACAAAATAACATGGCTTGCGGATTCTTTTCAAAGTCACTTTGAAAAAGTAGCATCCTTAATCACCAGGTCAATGAAAAATATAATAGGAATAGAAAAAATGAATGTTCTAGAGGCCTTCTCCGTCCCAAACAAACCAAAGCAAGACATTAGTCAGCGTAAGACACTTTACTGCATTCAAGTTGGATAACTTGGGAAACGCCAAAACGTATTACAAAAAAAGTCTGCTATGCTACTACACACCAGAATTAGTCGTTAGTTAAGGTCTATAACATCACTATATCCTTAGGATGCAGTCCATTCTAATGCCCCTCTTCTCCCCTCCATATGCACGATCTTTCGTAGCACTGAACGTTCGTGATGTTAATGCTCTACTCAGAGGCTTAAAAAAGGTATTCTAGGGACAATACTTCCATTAGAAATTCTGCTTGGAAAACAGTGCACAATGCTAAAAATGACAACGAGACCATCGAAA